GTAAGTGAGGGGGGGATAGAAGGCGAGCAAGACAGCGAGGTGGAGGGAGAGAGCGTTGGGGGGGGGTACGGAAAGGGCACGGGGGGGGGGTACGGAGAGAAAACAAGGGTGGGGAAAGAGAGAGACAGTGAGTTGGGGAGAGAGAGAGGGAGGGGAGAGAGAAAGTTGAGGGAGGGAGCTGTGCAGCGAGGTGGAGGGTAATGAAGGAGGGAGGGACTGAGTCAGGCGAGCAAGGGTTTGTGACTGACCTCCCAGAAGCTCTTGGCTATTTCTTCGCCCTTTGCCAATGACATGGCCGCTGTTCCCTTGCAGCACAGAATTTTGGCGGTATTTTATTCTGTGAAAGAAAGGAGTCCACCAGGAACAGATATTAATGAATATTTTGTGTCAGATTTTACTGTGGAGAAAGAAATGGGGTCTAAAGAACTCCAAGAAATAAATACTGATGTTTTGAAAACCATTCACATTACAAAGGAGATCTTAGGAAATATAAAGCTGGATAAATCTCTGCGACCTGATGTAGTGTATCCCAGGACTTTGCGGGAAGTTTGGAAGGAAATGGTGGGGCCTCTTGCAGAAATATTTGTACCATCTATAAATACGGGTGAGATGCAGAATGAATGGAGAGTGGCTAATGTTGTACCTTTGTTTAAGAAGGGATGTAAGGAGAAACATGGAACTGTAGACCTGTGAGTCTGATTTTGGTGGTGGGTAAATTGTTGGAAGTGATTCTGAAAGATAGGATTTCTATGCATTTGGAGATGCAGGGACTGATTAAGGATAGTCAGCATGGTTTTGTGCACAGGGAAACTGTGTCTCACAAACTTGATTCAGTTTTTTGAGGAAGTAACCAAGAAGACTGACGAGGGCAGAGCGGTAAACATTGTTTACTTGGAATTTAGTGAAGTCTTTCTCAAGGCTCCACATAGTAGACTAATTAGTAAATTTGGGTCACATGGAATTCAGGGTGAGCTCGCCAATTTGCTTAATGGCAAGAGACAGAGAGTAATGGTGGACGGTTATTTTTCGGATGGGAGCCCTGTGACTAGCAGTGTTCCACAGGGATCACCGCTGGGTCCACTTTTGTTAGTCATTTATATAAATGATTTGGATGAGAATACACAAGGCATGGTTAGTAAGTTTGTGGAAGACACCAAAATTGGTGGCATAGTGGATAGTGAAGGTTTTTTTAGATTACAAAGAGATCTTGATCAATTGAGTCAATGGGCTGAAGAGTGGCAGATGGAGTTTAATTTGGATAAACGCGAGGTATTGCATTTTTGTAAAACAAACAAGTGGACTTATACAGTTAAAAGTAGGGCCCTGGGTTGTGTTGCAGAACAGAGAGACCTAGGGTACATGGTTCTTTGAAGTTGGTGTCACACATAGATAGGGTGGTTAAGAGAGAAGTCGAGGGGGGCGGGGGAGGGGGAAGAGAAGGGCGGGGGAGGGGGAAGAGAAGGG